TTATCAGCAATATAATTGATGTCGCATCTCTGGAATTTTTCATTTCTTTCTCTTCGATCTCAGGGTTTTTTGGAAATGCCGGGCAAACAAATTATGCCAGGTGAGCTAGACTTTCACGCTCACATCATATCCTTAGAAACTAAGGACACATCCGATAGTGCAAACGTTATTTTGGATGGCTTAGCAAAGCCCTACAAGAACGCATTTTCTATTGTCACTCCTGCGGTCACCGATAGCTTCACTGCCACTGGGGCAGGTGAAAGCTTTCACGCGGCCCGCATCAAGCATTTGACTAGCTGGGGAATGTCCTCTCAAGGTCAGAATAGACGATATATTGCTATACTGTGCTCAATATATACTCTCTTTCAGAGCTGTTACAGTGTATTGAAGATGGCATCTTGAAACTGATTGACGGGCCTTTCTGGTTATATATACCCGATTTCAATTGGCTTGATGTTCGCACAAATATGGGTTCATCACCCACCTACGAACATCTTGTCGTGGACGACAGGCCCACAGTAGCAAGCGCTTCAAACCCCGAGAAATCTGGATCGTTAAACCATATAATATGCGACCTGTTAGGTGTTCTTCCGGAAGATCTCTCGCCAAATGTCCCGTTGACAACCTATGGCCTAGATTCGCTCTCGGCGGCATCGTTATCCTTTTCCCTTCGTTCGCATATTTCCATCTCTCAGACTCAGCTTCTTGCAGATATGACCTTGCGGAAACTGGAAGCACGCATCGAAGAAAATACATTAGTTCCATCATCGCCTTTGGAGCATAGGCGGCAGTCAATTGAGGCCAAATGTTTAGAAATGGAGGACCTGCTTAAAAAGTACACTTCTCATTTCCCAGCTCATATAGGCAAGTCTATACCAGGGGCCAATCAAGGCCGTGTGATCCTCGTTACCGGAACTTCTGGTACCTTAGGAGCTGCTGTGCTTGACCGTCTTCTTCGGTATCCAAACGTCAGCCAAATTTATGCCCTTAATCGTCGTGATGTCTCTGCAAGGCCACAGCTGCAGCGGCATATAGCCGCTTTTGAAGCTAGAGATTTTGATGCATCATTCTTACGCGCGCAGAATTTGACCTTTCTGGAGGGAACAGTAGATCAAATGTATTTTGGGCTACCTGCCGACTTGTATCATCAGGTAAAGTTCTTACGGCTATTTCGCGTGTCTCAAATTGACAACTTTCCTAGCTCACCAACTCTGTGACACATATTATTCATGCGGGTGAGGAGGCATATCCTAATATTCCAGCTTACATCTAATGTATGTCTTAGCCTGGCCCATCGACTTTAATATGCCTTTGTCTTCATTTGAGCAAGCTATTCTTGGTGTGCGACAACTAGCGAATTTTGCACTGGAGTCCCCTCTGGTGAATCCACCACGCCTTCTCTTCACAAGTTCTATAGGTGTCCTCAGTGGTCAGTAGCTCTTTTTTCAGTAATACGATAAAGGCTAAACGTATGGACAGGCCTGAAGTCGTCAGATGCTACCGAGGAGACGCCGATAGAGGATCCAAGAATCTCGGTTGGTGCGGGATATATAGAGAGTAAATGGGTTGCCGAACGTGTCCTTTCCGCAGTAGCCGCATCTACTGCCTTGCGGCCAGTCATCGTTCGTATTGGACAACTCACTGGGGGACGAAATGGATTTTGGAAAGTAACGGAGTGGGTACCTTCAATGATTCGCTCTAGTATCACTTTAGGGGCGCTGCCAGACCGATCTGACGTATGAATTCTCTATGACGCAAAAAAATTACCTAGAGTGCTGATCCCTTTCCACAGATTCTCAACTGGATTCCTGTTGATATCGCCGCACCAGCCATCATTGATATGATGGATTCATCGACTCACATACTCCATCTAGTTCATCCTCACCCTATATGTTGGTCGGAGTTGATGCAACATATTGCGCTGGCTATGAATCTGCCACTGATTCCTTACTCGAGATGGCTGTCGTCTCTTGAAAAGCGGTCACTGTTTCAAGACACGTCAGGGAAAATCATTCCGGCTCTTAGATTACTTGCTTTCTTTCAGTACTCTGTTTATCGAGGAGATGGATCCTCGACGGACAACTTTCTAGAGCCAAGAGCATCCTGCCAGCAAGCAATACAGGTGTCGCCGACTTTAAGGGATACGAGCATAACTCCACTAGGGCTACGGGATGTGGAGAAGTGGTTGTCATACTGGAACAGGGTGGGTTTCCTTCCCCTAGATGCATCTGCGATTTAAAAGTGGCTACTGCATTTTATATCATTATTGTTGCCTCTGTGATTGGAGAGTGTCTATGAAATGGCAAACAGATCATGCTGGATTCAAGCGAATCACAGCGTGAAGTGACCAACGCTTGAAGCCTCAGTATGGTATGACATCAGTAAAACATCAATTTCCTTTAAAGATCTTAACTCAGCTTGGAACCATTTGAATAAGCATTAAGATTATTTTCGTGCCAAGGTTAAGATGAAAAAAGTGTGAATAAGGACACCCAAATTCTTGAATGTCACTTCTTACGACTTCAAAACAAACTTCTTACATCACAAAAGTTGCAGAAGTCCGAGATTGCCCGAGATGCATGAGGGAGGATGAGGGCACGTGACGAAGATCAGTTCGCATCATATCATGACATCGAGATGCAGCAAGAGTTATATCAGAATTGGTGTTTCTCAATAACAACTTGATATACCAATGTTGTAGTATATGACATGTAGATACATACAATGTAAGATATTTTAGTATCAGTAATGAGCCCAAACTGCGAGATTGAAAGTGAAGCTAAAGTGCACCAAAGCCCTATCAAGCCCAGATGTCGTCGTCTAACTCTTCTCCTTTGTCAGGAATGATATGGTCCAACTCACTCTCCTCGTCCTCCATAGCACTCTCCTGCATATTGTTATGACCATTGACTTTACTTTACATTTCGGACTTTTCATAGTCACATGACCAATCATGTGACACATCACCTGACCAGTGTCTAGACTCATCATGTGACCAGTCACATGCTAGACATCAGACTTTGAACTTTGATTACAAACTGTACAGTACCTCATGTATTTTAGTATATATCATGGAGCAATACATGGGGAGATACTCAGCAAGTCCTCTTCTAGTGTCTACCAACATTAGTATGACAAATTCTCTCTCTGAATAAGTTGTACACTTCCTTATCCTCCATTGAGTGTTATTGTTGTTGTGCTCCAGTGCCCCAAGACTGTGTCTTGTTGGTGTTGTTACACATATCCTCTGAGTCATCCTCGTCCTTGTTCTTGCTATCATTTTGGTCTTCTCTGCCATCCTTGCCCTTATCCTCTCCCTGGCTGTTGTCCTCAATCCCTCCTCCATTTTGTCTCCGGTATCATAATCTTGAGGTATGTGCCCTTCTTGCTGCAGAAGTTCATCCCAATGGCAAGTTGCCTTATAACCAACTCCACCACCTTTAAATAGCATGAAAATATCTCTGTCAACAAAACTTCAGAGCTTTTAACAACCCCTAGTGCTAGCAATGTATTAAATATAAGACTCACATATTTATATAGAAATATTTCCAATCATCATCCCAGCCTATTGCTGTGGGATCCTGACAAACAAGTGATGGTCCAAGGTATTTGTCGGTTGATCCAAATGTGAAAGCTGGAATGAGATGGATGCCACAAACCACACAACTAATAAAACTAAGTGAAACTCAGCGGCTGCCCGAGAGGCTATAGAAACGACTGAGGTATTCCTATACTAAACCCCCTACTACTTATAGTCGGAGGTGCTACTCGCTACAGTACAATAACTCCTAGGAGAACAATGGTTACTCCATGGAGTGGTGGCTATGCTCCATGGAGAACAATGGCTGCTTCGGCAGAGACTGGGTTTATCCGGTTTTGTCACTCCCACTCGAGTGCAACCGTAGTCCCATAGCTTTAGAGAATTTCCAGTGTTTTTCATGAGTGAGGGGTTTAGTGAGAATGTTTGCAATCATATCTCCTGTAGGAACGTATCTGATTACTGCCTCTACCTTTGATACTAAGTCATCTCGGATAAAATGATATTTCCGTTGAATGTGTTTTGTGCGATGTCGATGATGAGAACTGCTGTTAGAAAACCACACACAAAAACAAACTAACACACAATCCTCCCAAATTCCACGGAACTTGTTTATGGGTTTTGCCTCCTAGAACAGTGGAGTGGTCTGGTTGTTCGTGGGGTGGTACGTATAAGGATCCTTCAAAGTAAAACCCAGAGATGTATGAGTGTGGGTTCTGAGGAGGAGGGATAGTTGAATTTATAGAAGATAGGGGGCTTAGTGACAAGTATAGATGAGCACTACCTTGCTAATTGTAGCACAAGGTAGGTTTGAGAATGATGAGATAATGAGGTTCCCAGTGATAGCAGGCTCCTGACGCACAAACTGTAGTGCTCAGAAGGACTCTAATTGAAGGGGATGACAATCACTTTCAAAAAGTGACAAGTGACGATGACAGCAGTTAACAGTGGTAGAAGTGGGAAGTGTTGTGACCACACTGGATCACAAGTAGCAGAGTAGTGAACTTGAGAGCAGAGAAGAAGTCTGGATTGGATTTCTTGTTCTTTTTTTTTACAAGGTAAAATACAGGGGTTTATATAGTAAAAGAAAAGTAGGCTATGCACAGTATAGCCGTGCAAAAAGAATGAGAAAGAACATGAAGGAAGGAATGTACGCTGACAAATCCTGCATAGGTAGTACAGGATAAGATTGTCAAAAAAAGGAAAAGAAAGGGATAGAACAATGAATGCTGTGAGTAATGTCACAGGTTTGTACAGCCATAAAGTAAAGTCCAATAGCAGAAAGAGAGCAAGAAAATCATAATGTCATAGGAAGATGCAGTAAAAAAAGGGCAAGGCAAAACAATATAAGTATCAACACAGTTCCTTTATTGTCAGTCAGGCATTCTAAAAAATATGTGTCCATAAAAATGATTCAAAAATCAAAAATAATAGCACTGTAAATGAATGTTCTGCTGAAAAAAAAGAAACTGGAGCCACCGGTCCACCACCTAGTCCAAATCCGACAGTTCCATGGCCTTACCAATGGACTGGTTGTGTTGGACCACCTGATCAAACGAGGGAGGGAGAGGAGTAGTTCCAATTTGGAACAAGTGAGTCCCAGGCAGCGTGTGGTAGGTGTAGCTGTAGCAAAGACGATGGACAAAAGATAGGTGTACCCAAGTGAATGGGACAGCAATGAACATGGGCAACGCAAGGGGATGAACCTTCTCCAGCTCAAAAACTACCCACCCACGCTCCAACCAGGCAAGACAAGCGACCAATGTTTTGATAGTATATGATGGCAGATCGACATCATGAAGATGGACCTGTTGCCCTATTTGGACCGGCCGCCGGGGCTTTGCTGATATCAGCAGTGGCACGTGGTAGTCAACGGATCGGCGACGGAAGCGGATAGGAAGTGGTGACATCAGAAATGGTGGGGGTGCAAATAAGATGAGGAGGAGGAGGGTGGAGGTGACGAAAAAGTGGATTAGAATGGGGATCCAGAAACGACTGTCAGGTGAGAATAAAAAGGAGAGGAAGGGGCTCATGGTGGGGCTAGGCAAAGGAAGGGGAGTAAGGGAAACGACAAAAGTGAGGGCACAATGCAATGTGTAGCCAGTGGCGACGCGAAAATTTGCCGAAATGCCGAAATGCCGAAAGTACCGAATGGAAAAGCAAAGGTGAGCGTGACTGGATTGCCTAATAGAGGTGGTGCTGATCAGCCACAAGTTTGAAACAGGCAATATTAATTACTATTCCATGTGGCACTGTGCCTGTGTGGCGCAAAGGCGAGTCTTTTTGAATATTTGCTTCGTTATTGACACCTGTCCATGCTACCAATCAACTTTGGTGCATGACAACGGCCTAGTTTCATCACCTAAAATCATACTGGACAATTTATTTTCTGCGTTCAGTAGTCCCATGGCTGGCCTCCTCATGTGCTGGCAATATTTGGGTTCAACATCAAAATCTATTTCAGAGCTCAATTGTCTGTGGTCCTACGTAAAGGACCCACTCTTTAACTTGGCAGATGAGTTGTCATTTTCTCATGACAAGGAACATAAATGTATTGAAAAAAATTTACAGAATGAGTCCAATCCATTCAACACAGACCATGGTTTGCTACACAGTCCAGTCAAGATACCACTCATGAAATACAAAGTAAAGTACATGTCTCAAGAGGACCCTTCCATACCAACTATTACCATTGAGGTGATTCACTGCTCCCTTACAAATATTATAAAATCAGTGTTTGAGGATGACTTCTCTTCAACATTTCACATGACACCATTTCAACAATTTTGGAACACCTCCGAGGACCATGTTTTGAAGGTGTACTTGGAAGCATACTCATCCCCTGCAATGCTTAATGCTTACCAAGAGATTAATTCCTTACTGAGGGAGGCTGGTGATAAATACAAATGTGTAGTTGTGTCACTAATGCTATGCTCTGATGCAACACAGCTTGCAAACTTTGGTGATGCATCACTATGGCCAATATATTTATTCTTCGGGAATGAGTCAAAGTATACCCAAGCCAAGCCAAGCTCAGGAGTCTGTCACCATGCCGCTTACATCCCAACAGTGTGTAGCCTTAAAAATTCTTGATTTTCTATACTAACCAACTCTAAAGCTGCTGGATAATTTTCAAGACCTTTACATTGCAGATTATGAGGAGGCCTCAACAGATAACATGTACACACACTGCAAGTGTGGACTGATGCAGGCAATCTGGAAACTACTATTAGACGGAGATTTTGTCAAGGCATACAAGTATGGGCTGCTGATTCAATGCACTGATGGCATCATTAGATGTGTCTTCCCTCATTTATTCTCATACTCTGCAGATTATCTGTTACGATACACAATTTTTGGACTTACAAACTTCTTTCTCCGTTCTAACTTTCCTTTTTCAAAGAGTTCTCACGCACTCATGCCACGTTGCACTTCCCTTTTGTTCAGACTTCTACTTTCTCGCGCCGCGCTGCTTTTCTTACTTTAGCTACAAATCTCTCATGCAGTGGAGCTGGTTGCATGGGCTGCGCCCTCTGACATCATCAGCCACTGCTTTCATCAACTGTATAGTACTTATGTACAAACAACCTGTAGTAGTATATATACCCTAATAGAACAAGGAGACTCCTCAGCAAGTCCTCCTGTTGTTCACCCACAACTAACTTGGTCCTATCTTAAGGGGTAACCACTCCCTTTCATTACTCTTTTGCTTGTCTGAGTTGTGCGCCAGAGTAACTAACTCTTGGTTGTTACATTATCCCAAAAAGTCAGTGAAATTTCTAATTATGTGAACTGATTACTGATCCATACTTATTTACAAGAATCCTCTTGGTGTGCATCAAGTCCTTAGGTGAATGCCCATGCCCTCGCTTTCTAGTGAAGAAGGTTGATATCCCTGATATGGGAAAGAAGTCAGAT